ATATGGGAATTGGAATTATTATTAGCGAGTTTATATGCGGTCTACTCTTGATAATTTGACGAAAATTTATGTCGTAAAGATGGTTAGATCGTCCATTTCATATTATATTTATGTTATTCTTTGTGTATAGAAAATAAATGAACAACACTGACGTGTAACAGAATTTAGTTTTTTGTGTAAGTGCCTAAAACGTGTAAGTTTGAAGACAACTAAACCCATTCCAACAATTCTCTCAGCGATCTCAACACAATTAACAATGTCTGAATTTTTCTTAAGATTTCAGCAAAAACCCAATATTTTTACGATATCCGAATCATCAATTCATAGCACTAAAAAAATAACTTGTAAATAATTAGTAAAATCTAATGTCTTGTTAGTTTGAATTAGCGAACAAATTTAAGATGTAATGCCTGTCACGCACTTAATTAACATTCAGCTCAAAGGTATAGAAATCGTGCCTGCGGATTGGAAAAAGTTTTAAGCCTTTTTCTGCATTAATGCTTTTACGATAAATGTTTATATATCCATCCGTGACCTCTTTTTTGTTGCAATTATTTTTAATAGAACATTAAATTAAAGTGATACTTTGACAACAATTATTTGAGGTATTTATTGTTGATCAGGATGTTTAACTTACAGTGGTAACGAAAGTTTTATTTCCGTTTTGTAATCGTTTATTATAATTACTTACTAAAGCTAAGAAGATTCATTTTTTTATAGAACAGGGGCAAACGGGCAGCAGGCTCATCTGATGTTAAGTGATACCGCCGCCCATGGACACTCTCAATGCCAGAGGGCTCGCGATTGCGTTGCCGGCTTTGAATTCGTACGCTCTATTCTTGAAGGACCCTAAGTCGAATTGGTTCGAAAATACTTCAGTAGGCAGCTTTAACTATTTATCCTATAATATGTACTGTAATCTAATATATATATATATATATATATATATAAAATTCTCGTGTCACAATGTTCGTTCCCATACTCCTCCGAAACGGCTCGACCGATTCCTATGAAATTTTTTACGCATATTCAATAAGTCTGAGAATAGGCTTCTATCTATCTTTCAAACCTAAATTATTTTTTTCGTCCAAATTTTTAATTTTTAATGATACATCATACAACCGTTAATTTTCATCCCTCTACGGGCAACCCCTTTTTTTTATTTGTTAATTTAAAACTTATGACTTGAACTCAGAGGTTTATATCGAGAAAAATTCACAGAAAATCCGGATTTTCCGGGGTAGCATAGCAAAATGTTGTCATTCCGGAAAATCTAACAGTCTCCGGGGTAGCATAGCAAAATGTTCCATGTTGGTAGGTACTAAAAAAGTAAGCTAAGTAAAATCACATTAAGGAGAAACGAAGTTCGCGGGGGCAGCTAGTATTATATATATTTATATTACCGTCATATCATTTTGGTCAAAGTTCACCAATGTCCAGATTAAGCAATAAGCATTCTGATAAACGAGCTAGGTCTGGATATCCATAGTTGCTCCCCTAACACTATAAAATCGATTTATGTTTAATTTTTTGTAATTTTTTTTTTTTTTTGATTAGTTATTGTTATGTAATGCTTGTTTTGTTTAATAATTGTTTTGATTGATATTTGTATGATCTCTACATGTTTACATGCACATTAAAAATTGTATTTTGTGTTTGTTTTACCAATGTATCAATTGCCGAGCGTTGGCAAGCTTTTTATCAAGAAAAAAAAATCCTTTAAATAAGTTAATCAATTTATTTTCGCATTGAATATTTTTTCATCGAATTTAAATAAAAGAAATATTTACAGCTACTAAGCAGGAAATAGCTTGTTATTTCTCTCTAGATGTTTGCTTAAGTAATTTTTTTCCAATGAACTCGGAGCTTTCGATGTAGCTACTTTTAAAGTTATTGTTGTATTTCATTATTTTAGACTTTTGAAATTGTTATCTTCATATAGAGAACTTCCAATCAATATTTTTGCGTTGTCCGCGTAGACCGTGCTTTGCCGATCTTTGGGAAAGTAGTACGCGCTTTTATTAAATAACATTACACCTTCTTTAACTACCTAGCTAATAATAAAAATACATTAGCGACAGAACATTGATACAACTTCGCTTCAGATTGTCTCAGTTTCTTTGATCATTTTGTATAAGACTTGCGGTGTTTTCTTTATCCTACAACAAAGTGTGTTTTACGCTCGCAACAAAAAGATTCAGCATTGGTTTTTCCATTGATTAACAATCGGGATTTGGACGTACGATAAGTTTGAAAGTCGTACGATTAAGGCTTTTTCATAATCGCGTCTCCTCATTAGATCTTCATCAAAAGTTGTTTAAAAAATCGTTGTATAGCTTTGAATCCATTGAGAATATTAAATGTTGAATGTATGTATGTAAAGTGTGTGCTAACCCAATGTATATAGAAATAAAATAATAGTAAAACACAGCGAATTTACAATGTCAAAGAACCGGTGTAATAACATCCAGAGTAGAAAAATCATGTCACTGCCAATACTGCATTCCCAACTGCCTTCGAGAAAATGGAAATGATAATCTTTTTAATGTAATCGATAAACAGTTCACTAAAAGAAAACTCGGGAAAATAAGAAATAGGTTAATTTCGGAAAAAAATGTGTTTTTGCTTTCTTATTAACATTATACAGAAAGGAGAGTTTAGAAACTTGTAGATCCTCGTAGCCTTATTAACACTTTTAAAACTGCCGAAATAATGCTGGGAGAACAATGCTAGATAGTCTAATCCACCCATCGTATGCCAAGTAAAGAACATAAAAGACGGTACATTCCACCACTATTTAATGAAGTCGCAGCCGTAGCATTTAGCGAACAATTTGCTTCCCGTGTAATTATTTTAGACATATTAACCAGGATCCCAGACACACACAATTTTTATGACACGTTGCAACCGCTAATATTCCGCAAGGGGCAGTATTGATTTCAAATAGCCCGACTCAGTCCTGTGACAGGCTTCCCGTTACCTAACAAATAAATTTCGTATCAAGATTCGAGAAAATAATTGCAATATGATGCAGACTACTGGTTAATGAGTTTTATGTTCACATGTATATAAAGTATTACGTTACATATTATCATTAAATCAATGCAAACTGAGAGCGAAGAACTACATTGATTGTCTGCATTGCAAATGAAGGTCATTTTCTAATAATTTAGGTATAATGGTTATGTTACTGTTTTCATCTATGAAAAGCCCCAGGTATTTGCGTATATACTCAAATGCGTTTGCTTATGTACATACTTATGGGCGCTCTTGTTCATTTATTACTTTCACCTGTAGCCGAAGTTGGCTTGAACTGCCGGGCAAACTGCGATAAATACCTAGGTAACACTGACAATGTTTACAAAATGAAAAACGGCTTAATGTAGAATGTTGCCAAAGTAATCTCCGTTCCTCTCTTCACATAGTCGCATTCGATGGAACCACTGAGAAAAGCAGTTGGCCCATTCTTCTTGGGGTCTCCTCTTAGGCATTTTCGTAAGCTTTCACCGCATCTCGTAAAGGGAATACCTCTAATTGTATCTTTAGTTTTGGGTTCGTAGCAATATATCCAGCTTTCATCACCTGTGACGATGTTAAATACAGCATTTAACTTACCATCGTTGAACTTATCCAACGTTTGGCGACCAGTCCATGCGAAGGTGTTTCTGGTCGTCGGTTAAAGTATGGGAAATCCATCTGGTACAAAGCTTCCTGACGCCTAAATGTTCGTGTAATATTTTCTGAACTTGACTCATACCAATGCCTAGGCTTGCCCGTATCTGCTGATAGGTCACTCTTATCTTCCTCTATCATGCGTCGCACAGCACTGATGTTATCTTCAGTAGTCGCTGTTAAAGGACGTCCCTCACGTGGATCATCATTGAGATTGCTAGGTCCACGCTTAAACTCGTTAAACCAATTGTAAATAGTGGCACGTGTAGATGGGGCTTTCTTTAAGAAATGCTAATCGCAGCCTATCATAGCTTTGTTGTTGAGTAAGCCCACAACGAAAGTTATAATAAATCATTCACCGAAAATTTTCTCGGGTTAGGTTAATTTTAATAGTTTTAGATTTGCCGCCAATTCACAAAAACAAATGAATGCATTTTACTACATAAGGTTATCACAGAGATCTAAAATTGAAATTCAAAAAAAGTTTTCATTAGCAATGTTTCTAACTGGCCAATTCTAAAAAAATTCAGTGTCCCCCACGTAGATACGATACTAACGAGAGCTTTTAAATTAAAATTTAAAAAGCTAATTACTAAGCTATTAAAATAATAATAAAAAATCGGAGAATTACCAATTATACGATTATTTAGCAATTAATTTATAAATAAACATTTACTATATTTGATTATTGACTGAGATTTATATAGAACACGCTGAATTTATCAATTTCCGGAAGTTACTATGATACTACGCTATATTAGTACTCCGAAATTTTAGGTTTGATGTCGCTGTTAATAGAAAACTATTGTTTTCTTCCAAGGGCAGTGCTTAAGAGGTTTACGGCATGAGGTTCGAGCACTTTATTACTAGGAAATACACTTAATTTACATAATGTTCGTTTCAATGAGACGTATACTTATAGAAAACTGCTGTCAAAATCTATTTTGCTTTTGTCTTGTAGAAATAAGTATAAAAAATACGCTTGAAGTACCAATGCCTAGTCCGCAAGCTTATTTCTATATAGGTAATCAAATTACATATGAACGTCAATTAGGGCGCTCTTGTTATATACTTAGAAACATTATATACAGGTGGGATTAATACATTTGCTAAATCGTATTAATATTGTAAATGCTCTTAAAATAATAAATAATTCCAGCATTGTAGCCGAATACGAATTATCTAACGATACATACATTTCAATCGATATATTCTATACCAATAACTTCATTGTTTTCCTAAGTTTCAAAGTGTTAACCTTTATATAATGCTTGTATATCGTAATGGTGACCCAAACACTGATATAGTACCTTTGTTTCAGATTCGCAATGGATACAAATGAAACCCTTCTATTAAATATTAGCTCACTTGTGATGCGAGAGACTTTGTCGAGTACTATCAGCACAGTGTCTATGAACAAAACCGTGTCGAATGCCTATGAATGGCGTTTTGTGTTGCCACCCTATTTCCTCATTTTCCTCTTGTCGATATCCGGTAACTGTCTCGTGATAGCAACACTGGCTAGTAATAGGAGAATGAGGACTGTCACTAACGTATACCTATTAAACCTGGTGAGAATTTTGTTTACTTTTGAATTTAGCGCCCAAATTTATGTATTTAAACTTCGTTATATAAATTAATAGGTATAAATAACATACATTATTAGAAATTAAACGGGCGGGCTTATTGCTGACAAGCGACTATTCCAGGCAAACCTAGTCAGGAAAAAACTTTAACAAAATAAATAAGGGCAATCTGCAAGAAGTGCATATTCAAATCAAAAAAATTTAATTACATGTAACTCTGAAAAAAATTACAATGTAAGCTGTGCTTTTTTGCTTAAATTTAATTTATTAAAATTATTCCGCAGTGAAATTCTTTATTATCTGTAGATAAAGTTCCTAAATATTAAAAGTAGTAATTTTTATTCAAGGTAAAGTTGCGGAAATTAAAACAAATCATGAATAATTGTAAAACTTTAACTAAAACAATCAATCAAATCGGTTATCATCCAATCAAATGTGCCATTTCCTTCCAAAAAACATCTAATGCATCTTCTAAGTTCTATTTTTTACAAATAAAAAATTATTTTCCTTAATTTATGTCCTTTTTTCTTAACAATATTTTATGTAGGATTACTTTCAGACTGTTTCGTCGTTTTGCACACAATTTCATTGTAATAATCAATCGTCGAGTCATTGTTGTTAATTAGAAAAGCCTTTATATTAAAATACAACAACCAAATTACAGAATATAAAAGTAATACCTACTTAATAACCTTAAAAAATATAATACAATGACTAAAATATATTATAAAAGGGACTCCTTCCTTTAGACAAGGTCCGAAGATACTGGCAACAACTTTGAGACTAGCTAGACTAATTCTTTGTCCGAGGTAGCTGCCAGCTCTTCGGTCTCCTGTGATGTCGACTAACCTTTTTGCTATTTCCTTAAAAAGCCTTATAGCGCTAGGACCCCACGGACCAAGGGTCTCGACACCGAATGGGACAAAATCATATTCGGAGCCTAGCTTTGTATTTGCATGCATACAAAAAAAATATATATTATTGAAGTTATACTTCTTTAGGCGCGTTATGAAAAATTGATGAGAGTGAAATTTTACGATGCGCGTGCACCGTTACACAAAATTAACAGAATGAAGTTGCATACGGAAGATGCTACGGCATCGGACATAATTTAAAAACAACATTCGAATAATAATAGAATTTATGTTACACTTAATGTAAGAGAATAATAATAAAAATTTATTTATTTAATTTTTCAAATGTAAACTGAACTTTATTGACTATAATGACTCCTCTTCCAGTCTTTGATTATTTAATTGTAATTAATTATTTGCTTGCAATCAAAAACTATTTTTAATAATGCCAAAGAAGTATCACTACTTACGCGCGTACATAAGTACACGCATCCTTTTTTCTTTATATATATATTAATAGTGTTTTATTTTCAGGCCATATCAGATTTCTTACTGGGAGTATTCTGTCTACCTTTTACTCTGGTTGGGCAAATTTACAGAAGATTTTTATTTGGAGCTACACTATGCAAATTAATACCATTTTTGCAAGGTAAGACATTATTATTATTATTTATCTATACCTACTATTAAACATTAATCTAACTGTGAATGTAATTAATAAATTAAATACTCGTATATGTAGAAGACTCTTGTATCACTTATGAAAGTATACACTTAACGAATTATATAGGTTATGTATTGGTTAATAAACATCGAGTGGCTTGCATTTGCGTCGCCAGCCTTTAAGAATGCACATATGCACTCTTCTCTTGAAAGGCACTAAGTCGTAACGATTTGGAAATATCCGAAAGGCACCTGGGTTCCATAAAGTGGGTGGTGTGTGGAAAAAAGAGCTTTAAAAAACTATTTTTTTTGCATTAAAAAAAACTCGTTCAAAGAATTAACACTCTTCGGGTTATAAGGTATAGTAAACCTATATGGTATGATTGAATAACCATCGCAAAGATTTATCATAACATATTTTTATATTGTGTACATCGTAACCTAGCCACTAGTAATAAAAATGCTGAAAGTGATCGTAAAACCGATTAAATTCACAATAACATTCCCTGTTATGCCTGGAATTTTTATTCCTTGCTCCGTAATATTAATGGAGTACTGTCCAGATTTTAGTCATATTCATCAGTGAGAGTGAAAATCCGAGTTAAGAAGAATCGCTTTTACCCAAACCCTTTTATTTCAGTTAGAGTCTATAATCAATTCATCTACTGTCGACATAAGTTTCAATCTATTTTAAAGTGGACATTAGCTAATAGACTTTAGATAATACAACGATTATACAAATTTCGAAATGTACTACAATGCAGGTTGTGATCTTTGAGATTTCATAACCAAATTGTGCATTCGAAATGCACAAATTGGCGCTCGATTTTGAGCGCAAATTTGTAAGTGTGCAGAATATGATAAAAGCAAAGCTTAGATAATAAGAAGAAAAAAATGTTATATGATAAATTCCTTTTCATCGGTGGGGGAAGCGGGTATAGATAGTTAAATATGTAAAAAAAACTGTTGCATGGACATCCTCGAGCGCGTCAGATATTGATAGCATCTATGCCCTACGTATTTTTAATAATGTACGTATGTTAATCTGATCGTTTGCATGATGCGGGTGGTTGTATTTAAGGGTTGAAAATAAAAAAAAAAAATATCGAGCGCGTCAGATTTTCTAAGGGAGTGTTAAGTGCACCAAAAAAAAGGTCTCATTCACTAATCTGACGATTTCGATGGGACGCAAACCCACAGCCGTTTTCATAATTTGCAAAAAAAAATCGCAATTTTGAAATACTCAAGCGCGTCAGATTAAGATATATGTGGTTCATCTTTATGTTCTAAACGTACTGTCTCATAATCTGACGATTATCTAGAGGGATTCGCCTGTTCTGACAAAAAAAAATAGAAAAGCGGTTCACCTAAAGGGCCATCCCTGCAACTTCCCGCTAATTCCATTCCTGGGCGCTTAAAATTGATATTTTGAGCTCGCCGAGTTCAAAGAAATAATATTTCTATGCATTTGAGCTCTACCAGCTCGAAAGTCTGATAGAAGTTTCATAGAACACTATTTTTCAAACCACAATAACTTTTGAATGGATCAAGCAATTTTCACGCGGTTGGCGGCATTCGACGCAGTTTTATCATCCTCATAAGTAATTTTAATTGATCGAACCACAAATTTCGGAGTAATCCCGAAAAAACACATTTTCGGGTTTCTTTCGTTCACGATATCTCTCGAACGAATCAACCGCTTTTGACCAGCTTGGTGGCGATCGACGTGGTTTTTCAAGCTCAAAGGCGGATTAGTTTTTGAAGTTGATCGATAAAGAAACCACATAAAAAAAAACGTTTTTTTTGAGATATATCAAAATTTCTCAAAATTTCAAATCGGTTCAAATTCACAGGAAATGTAATTTTGAGGGAAATATTTAGAACGCCGTTTAGTAGATTCCGATCGGTTTAGTCGTTCAAAAGTTATAAGCGAGTCACACACACATACATACAGACATAGTGACAACATCACGGAGGTAGTCAGGGAAGCTTCCTATGACCTTAAAACGTCAAGATCTGATGAAAACTCGATTTTCGCAAAACAGGTTAAAACCAATAACTTCCCGAATTGTTTAAAATTTTAATTTTTTCTTAGCGGGAAGTCAAAAATTTTTTTATTTTTTTAAATCATTGAACTTAATTAATTGAAAAGCTCAGGAAATAGCATGCAAATAAATAAGTGTATGCTTTTTTATAAGCTATTATGTCTTAATATATATAATATTCATTTCATACAAAACTATTCTTTTGATATATTTTAAACGTAAAGTTTTCTGGTGCTATGATAGTGACACTTTTTATTTCTAAACGTTTCCGTCAAATTTTGAATAGAGAAAGAGTGAGAGAGAAATAGAAACGCGGAGAAGGAAATATAGGCATCACGCAGCTGCACGCATTTTACTTTATTATCGACGAATTTTTGTTATTTCGGCTTGCGGAAATCGTCAGATTATATATTTTTCATTATTCTTGAATTATTTCCTTCAAAATAAAAATAAATTTAGCTACGCTCGAGAATGTCGAGATGACGTTTTTTTTTTACAACTTTGTTGCCCTCCCCTTTCTTTACGTCACTCTCAAATTGTCAGATTAGTGGAATATACACTTTTTAGGATGTAATTAACTCACCCTAGCTTAATTTGATGCGCTCGGGAATTTCTGATGGTCAATTTTTTTTTACTAATCTGATCCTGTCTCCTTCACAGGCGGCCTTATATATGGACCTCATGTTTTGTGGAGGTACTTAACCGAGTACAAGCTATCCCCCTGTATATTAATCTGCCGCGCTTTAGTAAATCCCGAAATCCCCTCTTGGGCTCCCCTACCACTATTTTTGAAGACGTCTTAAATATCTCATCATTCTCAGTATGGCAAAATTTTATCTAAACAAAAACCTCGAAACAATATTCAAATGAGTACGGAAGAGCTTACCTTATTTGATATTATGATGTGTGATTACAAGGTCACAGCTCATCGCGTTTAAATGGGTTATAAATGCCGATCTGCCTAAAAGCACTCGGCAAAAAGAGTCGAGACAGAATCCTTACAAGCGCGGTCAGTGCGTGTTACTCGGAGAACGCTAAAGTTTGGTAACGCTTTTCTAAAAAATAAAAAACATATGTTCTTCTTCGTTTTAATTGAGTTGGTTTTACTATTCAGGATCCAATATTTTTTTCTTCTGTTTGATTCAACGCAAATAAATATAGGTACTATAATTTTAGACAAGGTACAATTATAGTTATATTGGTAGTTGACTTTTAAATTTGCCTCAGCTATTTCTTGTGATTTTTTTGAAATGTGTCGGTCACTTTTGTTTGCCCAACTTCGCCGGCGTTAACAGGTTCATTGTTTATTTACACTAGTTTTTTTTTCGTCGGGAAATGCGTTACGCATACCTTCCCGCGCCACGGTTGCCTCATGGTGAAGGGTTATGTGGGACTTGCATGCTGTGCATAGCCACTAAAACCCCACGGCGCCACCAGAAATGGCCCGAGGCAGGACACGGTAACATCGTAGCCTTGTCCGCAAACACTTCTTTGCGCTAACTTTAGTAACGCAATAGAACTGATATTTTTGCAATTATTGGTATTTAGGGACAAAAATATATTACGAGCTATTAAACATTCGTTTTATTCATCTGTTTGTACATCTGCTCTGTGTGTACGCAATAAACCTATATAATCACTGAATTGCTAATAACTCTCGTGTAAATATGACTTTTATACATGAATTTGTTTTTGGAGTATATAATTACTTTGAGTGCATATTTGCTTTAACATCATTCTGAAATATCAACAGGATTCTCAAATATCTTTTTAGTAAATGTGCTGATATATATTTCCTGGTTGTGAAATATACATTTTAGTATAATATAAAGTATATATTTTAGTCACTGTATTCGATTCAATCACGTAATAAGTAAATACAAGAAAGGGAACCGCCACCGCCGCCGTGCCTTGAGTAAAATATATTGCGCGCGATTAAATAAACTTTAGATATATTCTATAGGTGGCATATATAGAATCTAATATTATCTTAATGCTTAGGATGCTCCGCTACATTGCTCCAATGTAGCGGAGCATCCCAATGTGGGCCCTAGACAGGATTGACTCCCGTAGACCAGGCATGGGAGAATGCTAGTAGCCACATTTTAAATCTAGGACGCAGTTTCCTTTTAAAACTTCTTTTAATTACCCATTATCTATTCCAAGATTTTGATATTGTTATTGCCACTTCCTGGTTACGATTTTTATTAAAAGATATTTATTTACCAATTAAGTATATTTTTAAAAATATTCCACGTGATTTCCACTAATTTTCATGTTTGGCTTACACCGCATTCATTTGTAAACTAATATTAGAACTCGCATTGTAAATTGACGTAACCATTGTTTTTAATTCTTTAGAAGTTTCCCACATAATAGCCATCATCCGCAAACTTAAGATAACTAAAATTTCGACCGTTCATTTTAATGCCTTATTGTGTTGAAACGTTTAAGCGTTAGAGGGTCGATATTGATATATATTTGATCTATTCCCGCTAAATTAAGAGCGTTTTAGATTGCCTGATTGTTAATAGTTTAGTTCTTTAGTGAGTATGTGATCGACTGTAGCAAATCTTTCTTGAAAGGCAGCTTGTTCTATTGATTGTGAATTGTCAATGACTTGTGTTATGTTAACATTATAGAAAAAAACAGCTTGTAAATACTTGCTAACTTTTGTATTGACTTTGACTAATAATGTAAACTTAAGACAAATTTTCGCGCTATTGTGTATGGCAGAATATGCGAACTTATGATTGTACCACCTTACACATTTTTGACCTGTAATTTCCTATATTTAAAGGGTCGCCATTTTTGTTGATTAGATATTGGACATAGACAAATGTGATGGTAATTCTTTTGTCTTTTGTACCCAGTTGAACAGCTAAGTTAGATATTGAAGTCGAACCGGTGCCCCCAATTTTATTAATTAATAGCTTAAGCC